CTGAAAGCTGGGGAAGTGCTTGGTGGGTAAAGCGCTTGCCTCTAAGCCTGAGGACCTCAGCTGGGCAGAAGCAGCACACGCCTTTAACTACAGCTTTCAGGAGGCAGAGGCAGGCATAACTAGGCCAGCCTGGTCTACAGAGCAAGTTCCAGGACAGGATCCACAGCTACAGAGAAACCCTGTCTCAGGGGGAAAAAAAAAGGAAGGACAGAGAGAGGAAATTATCCGTTATATCTGAAACATCTGCTCAGGGGAACCTGGACAGTGTGAGGAGCCTGATGATCGCAGATGCACTTAAGAACATGGAAGCCTCTGGAAGGCAGACTATCATGTCTGCCTGGAGAGTCACAGAGCTTGACCCACTAGCTCTTAGAACCCCAGATTCCACAGCGGTAGCTCCCATGCTGTCTGCATGCAGCCCGAGGGGAGGAAACAGCAAAGATCTGGCTGGGTGTTCTTTTCCGTCCAGCAGTGGTACTGTCCATCCCGAGAGGCAGGGGCTACTGTTCAGGTAGATACAGGAAGAGGTGTTATTGATGTTCCCTGGCTTAGAAATCACTGCGTACACAAGATTGGCATCAATTTATAGAGGTCACCAGCCTCTCCTGAGCGCTGGGATCAAAGTGTGAGCCACAGCACCCAGCAGGAGGAGGGGTTTGTATTTTGTTTAAGTTTTTTTTATTGTGACTGGGCATGGTGGTTCATGCCTTTAATCCCAGCACTTGGAGAGTTGAGAGGTTGGGAAGTTCGAGGCCAGCCAGGTCTAAAGAGCAAGTTTCAGGACAGCCAGAGCTACACAGAGAAACCCTGTCTCAAAACAAACGCAACATAATCCAAAAGTTCCTTATTGGATGTATTGGATGTGTTGTAGGGTGTGTGTGTGTGTGTGTGTGTGATGGGAGATGCCATTATGTATATACGTTTCTCATACTGGTTAATAATAAAGCACTGTTGGCCAATAGGAAAGGAAGATAGGAGGGACTAGGAGACAAGGAGGAAATAGGAAGTAGTAAGGAGGAGCCAAGATGGAGAGTCTGAAGAAAGCAGTATGCCGCCGGCTCCCGGTAAGAGAAAAACATAGATCAGCAGAAATGGGTTAATAATTAAAGGCAGGGCTAGCCGATAAGAAACAAGTAACTGGGCCAACAGTATTGTATCAAATACAGAGTCTCTGTGTATTATTTGGGGCTGGCGGCGTGGTGGCGGGACAAGACCAGCGGCGGCAGGCGGATAAACCGTACTCATTACAAATGGCGGGCTGGCGGCGCAGCAGCAGGACTAGACCTGGCGGCGGGAGGAAAAACCTCTTCTCGTTACGTGTGTGTGTGTGTGTGTGTGTGTGTGTGTGTGTGTACTCATGTTCTTCGTATTATTGCCTTGAGGTAAGTTCTCACTGAACCTCAAGTTCACTGTTTCAGTGGGATTGACTGGCCATCAAGTTCTCAAGATCCACATGTCACTGCCACTACCAACACCACCCCAGTGCTGGGACTTGAGGCACATGCACCCATGCCCAGATTTGTGAGTGCTGGGGATTCAAACTCAGGTCCCTGCAGAATGTGCCTCTTACCCGATGTATTACTCAGGGTTCTCTGGAGGAGCACGGCCAACAGGAAGGATCCATACACTGAAAGAATTGACTAAGTCATCTTAAGTTAAAATAACAACTGGCCAGGTGGTGGTAGCCCGTGTCTTTAACCCCAGCACTCGGGTGACAGAGGCAGGTGGATCTCTGAGTTTGAGGCCAGCCTGGTCTACAGAGCCAGTTCCAGGACAGCCACACAGAGAAACCCTGTCTCTCTAAAAACCAAACAACAAGTGCCGTCTCACCCCTGAGAGGCTGAAACCCAGTAGTTGCTCAGTCCCCGCCCGAGGCTGGTGCCTCAGCGATCCTGCTCTGAGGTCAGTGAAGGAAGTCGGCAGTGGCAACTGGGTAAGTCAACACAGCGCTGAGGGGGAGGGCCACGAGAGAGGAAGGCAGGCGGTTTTCCCCTGAAGCCCCCATTGTCTGGACTGCTACCAGAAAGTGCAACCCACAGTCAGCCTGTGTCTTCCATGTCAATCAAAGCAACTGGGAAAGTCCAGCAGGGGAGCTCACTACTCAAGTGACTCATTTATGGCAAGTTGGCATTGAAATTAACCATTGCACCCCCTGGTCATCTTTGCAGCCCCAGAAAGAGTTTGTGTGTGCACTGGGGTACAGGTCCAGAAGAGGGTTTATTTATTTATTTATTTGGGTTTTTTCGTTTGGTTTTGTCTCGGTTTTTTTTTTTTTTTTTTTTTGGAGACAGGGTTTCTCTGTAGCTTTGGAGGCTGTCCCAGAGCTTGCTAAGTAAACCAGGCTGGCCTCAAACTCAGAGATCCTCCTGCCTCTGCCTCCCAAGGGCTGAGATTAAAGGTGTGTGCCACCAATGCCTGGTGAGATTTTTTTTTTCTTTGAGATTGGAGTCCATTATGTGGACTCAGATTCAAAGATCACCCGTGTCTCTGCCTCCGGAGGGCTGGGATTAAAGTCATGAACCAACACTCCAGGGTGTTTGCTTGTTCGAGACACTCAGTCGCCACACAGCCGAGGCTGGCACTGAACTTGTGACCCTTCTTACCTCAGCCTTCAGTGAGTGTTAGGATTGCAGATGTGTGCCACACCCAGCTTTGAGAGTTTTGTTTAATTTGCTGATCTCTCTCTCTCTTCCTCCTTCCTTCCCCTCACCTCCACCCTGTGTCTGGAGTCCATGCTGCAGCACGCATGTGGAGGTCAGACATCAACTTGGAGGAGTTGGTTCTCTTCTGCCATGTGATGTGGGTTCCTGGGATGAAACTGGGGTCATGAAGCTTTGTGGCAAGCGCCAGTTGTGAGGTGCTAGGCCACCTCTGCAAGAGGCCAACAGTGTCTGCTTGCAAATGATGACTGCACCCCAGTCTTGTTGACCATCGACATTCCCTCAGAGTGGGGAAGAGTCACTGAACCCCTTCCAACCAGTTGTATGAGATTTTTCTCTAATGGCCTGAGGGGCCCTAAGGAGCTGCTAAAGACTGGGAAAGTCTAAGGAAAGCTACTATCCAACGTCTTAGGGCTTTTGTTTGCTGTGAAGAGACACCATGACCACAGCAGCTTTTCTAAAGGAAAACATTTCATTGGGGCTGTGTGGTGGTTTGAAAGAGAATAGGCACTATTTAGGAAGTGTGGCTTTTTTGGAGTAGGTATGATCTTGGAGGAAGTGTATCACTGTGGGGGCAGGCTTTGAGGTCTCACATATGCTCAAGCCACGCCCAGTGCGACAGTTCACTTCCTGTTGCCTTTGGATCGAGTTGTAAGGACTCAGCTCCAGCACCGTGTCTGCCTGCATGCTGCCTTGTTCGCCTACACGATGATACTGGACTGCACCTCTGAACTGTACGCTGCCACCGCAATTAAACATTTCCCTTTGTAAGAAGAGTTGTCCTGGTCCAGACCCTAAGACACGTGGTCCAGAGCCAGACTGTAGCAACTTCACTGGGGAACCATTTCCCTGGAGCACCGCCGTAAGCTGTTACACTTACTGTGACCTGTGGTACTCCCTGGCTCCGGAGTGCCAGAATCCCTTTCCATCTGAGCCTTCGTAATGCTTTCAGTGAGGAGTGAATGAACAGGAAGAAGAAAATAAAAAAATCAAGGAGTGACACAGCCAAGGGCACCTGCTGCCACATCTGACTACCTGAGTTCAGTCCCTAGAACCACACACGGCACGAAAGAATGAACTCCCTGTGCTCCGACCTCTGCACACGTTCTGAGGTATGTGTGTGTGCACCCACACACCTATGAACACATAAATGCAATTTAAAAACATGAGGCATGGTCACCCTCTCACTGGTTTGAAGAGAAGGTGGCAGATGCTGTCACACAGGGGTACGGCCCATGCCACCCTCGGATGTCCTTCGTAATCTTACTGAGTTTTAGGGAGCTCCATGGTACGGATGAAGCAGCATCACCCGCCACTGAGCACTGAGTCAGAAAGCAACTGCATCATCAGCCTGACCGCGTGCAGAGGCGCCTGGAAGACTGGATAAGCAGGGCTCTGGGTATGTCCCAGAGGGTGTTTCCAGAGACAGTGAGCTAAAAGGAAGAGACCGGCCCTGCATGTGGGCAGCAGGGGGGGGGTGGAGGAGGGTGGGAGGGGGGGACGGGACACGGGGACACTTAGATGCAAGAGGAAGAGGAAGGGAAGGCCAGTCACGCCCCGGTAAGCCCCTCTCTGCTTTACTTCCCACTGTGGCCTGAATGTCTGTCGCATGCCAAGGTGGGACCCCTCCCTGCCGATGTCAGGTATCATAACACAAGTCAGCCTGCCTCCAAGATCCATGACCCCAGGACACTGCAAGCCATGGTCTCCCCAAGCCTCACAGCTTATCCCAAGGAATCAGGCCAGGCGTGTGTAAAAGGGAGTTATCACATATTCAAAGCATGCAGAAGGACACCGCCCCCCATCAGGTGAGGGTGAACTTCTCAGCCGTCAGGAAACTGTTCTTGGCCCAGCTGGTTACCGAGCGTCTAGGGACCCCACCCCCACTGTAAACTCAGCAGGCCAGAGCTGAAAGAAGATGGCCCTTTCACGCCTCCAGGAAGAACAACTCCAAGGCGCTGCTGGTATGTCTTCCCTGAGACAAGTGGTCTGCAATGACATGCCTGTTTGGAGGGGTCTTGGGGCACACCGTCCAGAGGGGCCGGTGGATACGATGCATGTTTGCTCGCTCCCCTTCCAACAGAACCCCGGGTATACGAGCTGAGCTGAATGCGCTATCTGTGTTGCTGTACGTCCTTGTGGTGAGAATTATGCAAGTGCCCACAAACTTTACCAGAAGAGACCCTCCACGTCCATCTTTCTGGACCCTGCCTTTTCCTTTACTCTGCCTGTGGGATCATGGGAACACAGCCGTGTGTCCTTGGCAGCACAGGTATGCTTTCCAGTGTTAGCTGCCACCCATTCATGAGAGATCGAAAGAACCGTGTTCACTCTGTGTGAAGTAAGGCACAGACAGCAGCCTGTTTACTTTATTCAAATAATTGATTCCTTTTCTCTGTGAAACTGAGTAGGACTACGGGATGGAGGAAAGCCCATATATTAAACTCTTAAATAAATCCTTTGAGTTCAGAGTCCAAGTCAACGGGAGGGACCTGTCACGCACGGACGGGTCTTGTCCCGGGAAATGAGGCCACCGAGGGGGCTTGTCCATCAGGGAAGGTAGCAAATTCAATTCTTTTTAAAAAAGTTCTCAAGGAGGAAAAAATAGAAAATTCCTAAGTTTCTGAAGCTGAAGTAGTCTGCTCCTCCACGTCCACCCTGAAGCATCCGAAGGCAGAGTTTCTGAGTCCGTTTCCACGGAGACGAAGGCTCCACCCACCTCTGTGGACCAATGGCACCACTGAGAGGAAGCAATCCATGTGCTTGGGTTCGTCTGGCCTCCGTGTACACACGACGTCAACTCAGGCATCTGAGCCCTGCAGAGGCGGAGAAAGGGGGCGGTGTCAGTCTGGGGTGATGCTGAAGTAAAGGCCCTCTATTCATTTTATTTTCTACTCCTCCCTTCTTCTGAGACAGAGACTCAATGCACAACACTGGCCGTCCTGAAATTCCATATATGGGCCCGGCTGGCACAGGACCCACAGGGCTGGCACAGGACCCAGAGATCCAGCCGCCCCGGCCTCCCACTCCCAGTGATGGGATGAAAGCTGTGAGCCACCATATGCGACTTATTTCATTGTGTGTCTGTGCACATGTGGGTGCAGGTGTCGACAGAAGCCAGAGGACGATACGGGTCTCTGTCCATTCCTGGGAGGGCACAGGTTTTATAGATATACATTCATACATTACAGATGGCGCAGAAGAATCTAAATTTGAAACTGGCTCTTGAGTTCTCACCTACATTTTAGTCTGGTCTCAAAGAGCCTCCCTAATTTACAAAGAATAAATGAGGCCAGCCCTGTCTTCCCGATAACTCAGCAGGCTGAGGCAGGAGGGTCACAGGTTGAAGGCCCGTCGAGGCCACAGAGTGAGTTCAAGCCCACCCTGGACAGTTAATGAGATCCCATCTCAAAAAGTAAAAGGGTAGGAACACAGGCCCATGGTAGAGCGCGTGCCTGCACGTGCCAGGCTTGGGGTTCAATGCATGAAGCTCCGGTTTCCACAGCCCCAAACCCCCAGAAATTGTGTGTTAAATGCGATGAGTTTCATCCAATCCATACTGGTTGGCTGGCGGGCCCTGTATGTGGCATCTCATTAAACGATCAATCAGGATTGAGCTGGCTTTGGAAATGGGCTGGTTCTAACAGATTTGCAGTCAGCTGGGGAGCCGTTTCCTCTTCCAGATTCGATTCCTTTCTTTGGAATAAATCCATCAGGGAACCCTACAGTCACAGAGACTGGATGCCCCCAGCTCAAAATCCCTTTCCCTACCTCTTAGCAAAATCAAATCCCTCAGAAAGAGCCAAGCCTGCAAATGGCACTGGAGGAAATCGGCCACAGGCTGTGTGACACGGAAGGCCACGGGGCTCTCGGTACAGTGGTGGAGCTGTGTATCCCTCGTGTCCGTGTCCTACACACAAGGCATCACCTGGCCCAACGCCCCGGGGGCAGAAGATGACACGATGGCTGCTGAGGACAGTCGTTGCTCTGAGCCATGGCTGGGTTTGTTACCAGGCGGGTCTGACTGATTCTACTGGGTCTCCATGTGGCTTAGGATCCCAGCCTCCATGGTCCTTCCTGCTCCTCCACAGACCAAGCCTCCATCCTATAAATAGCTCCCTAGCCAGTCACCATAGAAACGAGATGGGACGGATCTGTCCACCTTAGTGGGCACATCTGAGAAGGTTGAAAGGGTGGGCACTTCAGCCAGGGTTGGGAGCCTCCAAGTGGAAACAGGAAAGCTTACCCGGAAATCACGAACTTCCCAGATGCGGGGAGGTGCTGTTCTGGTTCACCTGGAGGGAGACAGGCAGAGAAAGGGGTCAAGTGGTGGATATGGGGGTGGGGAGTGTTCCTCCTTCCTTTTAGGAGGCCCAGTCCTGGTCTCACTGGTTACTTATGGAGACACCAGGAAAGCTGTCTCTCTCGCACACACAGGTCACACACTGTACTCAGGACAGGGTGACGGCAGCTCGGTCTCTCTCGCACACACAGGTCACACACTGTACTCGGGACAGGGTGACGGCAGCTCTGTCTCCAGGTTCCCCCAAGAGACAGGGGCACCTTGTGTTGTGTTCATCTGCTCCACCCTCCCAGGCCTCCAACCCTAGTGATGGTCCAGGCCTCGATGCTATCTATACTCTCCTCCTCATGTAGGACGTCTTGTAAGATACTGGGAAAACTAGAACCCTTGGAAGGGTTAGGGTTAGGGTTGAGCCAGTTTGGGCAGGAACATCGGTATACATGATGTGTCCATCCAAAAGGGCCACGACCCCACCCAGCAGACAGGGAAATCCTACAGACAGCGGGGCGTGCCGTGGAAGCACAATCGGCATGAAAATGTGCACAGGGGCCCAAGGAGGCAGCAGCAAAAAGCCGCTGTCCCTGAACCCAGGCGCTGATGGTTTGACCCTCAAAACAATGACTGCCATAGAGTGGTCCACACAGCTGGTGCAGCACAAACAGTGACTGAGGCTCTGTTTCAAAATCACAAGGCAGAAAGGCAGGGTGTGCGTGCATGCATGTGTGCGTGTGTGCGTGCACACATGTGTTTTTGAGTGTATGTGGTGTGTGTTCATGTGTGGTGTGCATGTGTGAGTGTGTGTGCCTGTGTGTATGTGTGGTGTATATGTTTGTGTGTGTAGACAGAGATTGAGGGAGATGCCTGATGTTCACATCTGACCTCTCTATGAACTTGTAAGCATGTATAAACAAGCACCACCACTTATAAAAATAAACACATATGCAAGGTCCATCTCATCATTTGAAATATAGCATTTTAGGCCTCAGAAGAGCACAGGTCCACGCCGTCAGAAGGCATAAGCCGTACCTATCCTGACGTCGTCTATCCTGATGTTGTGTGGAGTGCCCCTCGGGGATAGCTACCTCAAGGACGGTGGGCCCAACTGTGGGAGGCATGGGGAAGTGTGGCTCATGGCCATTTGGTCACATACCCCATGGCCCCGTAGCTCTCATTTCCTGACACAGAAGAAAGGTGTCTGGTATGTGCTTGGCAATTGTCACCTTAGTAGCACGGGGTTTAACTCAGAGACATGAAGTCCTCAGAGTCCCTGGGCCACCTTCTAGCCAGAGGACAAAGGGTGGGACAGCTCAGGAAAAGTACTCCTGAGATTGGCCTTGACTACATGAGCCACTAAAGAGACTTCATCCCCACCTAACACTGCCCAGGGTTATGATAGGTGTCATCCACCATCCACCCACCCACCCACCCACACGTCCATCCATCCATCCATCCATCCATCTATACACCCATCTGTCCATCACCTACCTACCCATCATCTATCCATCCACCCATCCATCCATCTATGCATCATCCATCCGCCTGCCTCCCTGCCCGCCGGCCCACCCACCCACCCGCCCACCCACCCGCCCACCCACCCACCCACCCACCCATCCATCCATCCATCCATCCATCATTCTTCCAGGGCAAAGTGGAGCAGCCATGGACCAACTCTGAGCTGGGTTCCAGTCAGGGAAACAGAAAGCAGAACTCCCCGCTCTTGGCCTTCTAACCTGAAAATATCCTTTCAGATTGGCTGGCGTTTTATAGTCTCCTTTCAAGACCTAGGAAAGAAGGGAAGTGTCACTGTGGCAGAAACAGGCAAAGAGTAATAAAATCCAGGTCATCACTGACACATCTGTCCCACCACCCAGCCTGTGTCCCTCTAGTTCTCCGCCCGCCCGCCTATCAGTTACACACTCCCCTCCCATGCCCCTCCTTTCATCTCTGTATCCTACCAACCCACCCATCTACCCATCATTTCATCTCTCCACACAGACCCATCTGTCTGTCTATCATCCACCCATCCATCCATCCACCCATCGCTCTTCCCTCTGATTCTACCTACACGGGACAGTGTTAATCGGGCGACTGGAGCTCTTGATCTCCTGCATTATCTGTTCCTGACAGGATGAAGCTGAGACACAGGTACCAGTACACACAAACCGTCACAGGCATGTGAAGCCGTGGGACGTGCCAGGAGGGCGAAGCAAAGGGGCGTGATTGGAAGGGACCAGGGGTTTCTGCGACCGTGTGACCACAGAGGTGAGGTGGGGTTAAGTAAAACCACCGAGGTTAAACAGGGCAAGACTGAGGACTTGAGGGCGTGGGCGGCACCCTGACAGTGCCAGCTGCTGCTGTAAACAGGGTCAAATGGGACCCAGCCGTGCAACTTAATACCCATCAATGCAAAAATCTTTTACTCAGCCTGGCATGTGAAGTCTTTGAACAAATCAACATGAACTCCATATAAAAACGACTAAAGAGAAACCTGATAGGTTTTTTTGGGCTGAAGTCTTCAAACCACTGCCCCTGTATTTCTACAACAGCCTCAGTGTGGCCCAGCTCCTGCCCCATGGCCACCTGGGGCTGGGTGCCACAGAGCCAACCATATGGGCACAGCCTCACGATTGCAGCTCTCATCACTGAGTTACTGTGGCCCAGGACAGGGAGACTGCCCGCAGCACTCCAGAACCTGCACCTGCCCACTGGCTGCCACGTGGCTTTTCCTCAGAGGTGTCCTTTCTCGGCAGAGGCTGAACACTGTGGAGATCAAGCCAGAGCCCTCGCCAAGACCAGATATCCAAGGACAAAATGTCTCTGGTTCTCTGGGCAAAAATTAGGCACGGTTTTATTTTTAACAAAAAAAGGTTCAAAGAATTGATCCAATACCAGCATTCACTGGAATTCCTGGCTTTTCCCTGGGAGCTTTGGACACACACACACACACACACACACACACACACACACACACACACACACACACGGATGGGACCTCAGCATGCATTCCTGCTGCAGCTGTGGCCCCTTCTAGATGCCCAGAGCTGGATTTCTGTCACTGTGGGGGCTCTGCTTTTTATATCTAGCATATTATTATTACTTAGGATGGAACGCAGAGCCCCGTGCATGCTGGGTAAGGGCTCTATCACTGTGCCACATCCGGCCTCGTCCTATTTTTGATTGACACAAGCAACATACCCACATTTGTGACCTAAAACCCTGGTTCGTTGTCTCTGAAGGCCAAGTGGGGCCTCTGTAGGGAAAAGCATATAAAACATGGGGATGGGGTTGGAGGAACAACTTGTTTGTGAGTAAGAGTTAACAAATAACATTTATAATAAAAACGGACATAACCACAGTCTCACTGAGAATACCCAGGCTGCCGCTGTGCAGGAGTGCTTGCCGGGGCTGTGTCCCCATCAGGGCTGAGGCACGGGGGCTGGGATGTGGCTCAGGGGTAGATCACTTGTCTGGCATTTGAGCCCTGGGAACATCCCCAGCGCTGCACATAGATTTGAGAAGAGGCGACGGAGACTTCTTTGGGCTAACTGGGAATTGTAATGCGTGCCCGTGGCTGTAGCTATTAGGAGGCTGAGGCAGGAGGATGGTTTGAGCCCAGGAATTGGGCAACACAGCAAGACCATGTCTTAAAAAAAAAAAAAAAAAAAAAAAAAAAAACCCAAAAACCCCACTGAAATGGTGGTTGTGGCGAAACACACCTATGTATGTCCATCGACTCAGGAGACAGGTGAGGTAGAACCCCAGTGCTGACACACACAGGGAGACAGTCTCCATAAACAAACAACTGGCTGCTCTCAGAAGTGTGGGGGTGATGTTGTGGGAAACACGTTCAGGGGCATTTGCAGCCACATGGGTAGTAGAGTGTTTCTGCACATCTGCACATGCAGTACAGCCCATGCACACCTGCACACGCAGTACGGCCCATGCACACCTGCACACGCAGCATGGCCCATGCACACCTACACACGCAGCATGGCCCATGCACACCTCAAATACATAACTGCACCAGGGGGTGATGCACTGCTCTTGGATGTTCCAACAGCAATGTGTCGGCTTCATCATATCCCACGGCACACCAGAACTGTAACCACGAGGGTGCCTCTGTGGATGCTCACATATGCACCCCAAGCACTCAAGAAGCTGGAGGACGCCAAGTAGACTTGATCATGAGTCACTAGGCTGTCCTTATAATATGCCTTGTCAAAGTCACTTCCCTAAGTATCTTCACCACAGGAATCTCAATAGCTCCAGGCTCTGGTATGTGAGAAATCAACATGATAACTTAGGGGGCAACAGCATGGTCCATTCTTTCATTTCTTTTTGGTTTTTTGAGACAGGGCTTCTCTACATAGTTTTGGAGCCTGTCTTGGAACTCGCTTTATAGACTCACAGAGATCCGCCTGCCTCTGCCTCCTGAGTGCTGGGACTAAAGGTGTGTGCACCACTACCCGGTGGCCCATTCTTTCTTGAAGGGTTCTGCACACAGGAGAAAGAGCCAGGGAGACAGGAAGAAAAGGTAGATAAGCCCTGAGGTCAAAAGAGGCGACAGGCAGAGGAGGACATCTGTTGACCCCGAGCTTTCTTAAGGCCCAAGCCAAAGTGGAAATACCGGCACTGGTACTGCCAAGTCCGTCAGGCAGAGCATGGATGCTCAGTCACATCCCGCTAAGGCCTACGCTCACACTCCTGTGTGTACACACACACACCCTTACCCGGTGTGTGTTGTTGATGACAATCGGGTCAGGGTTCCCATAGTTGGGAGGGTTTGCATATGGGTCATAGCCGAGCCGAGCCAGCATGGGGGCAATCTGCGCCATGTCCCTCACCACGTCGCCCGGGATGTGGCCGGTCCACTTGGAGAGTGCTTCCAAGTTCACGGGTTTGATGACCTGGTCCGTGGACCGCTCGATCCTGGGGAGAGAGGACAGTCTTGTCAGGCTGGGGGACACGCCCTGCTCCGTGACTATGGGGCAGCAGGAAGGGCAGCCCTGGCCCATGGACAGCCCTGCACCATCAGCTGTGAGTGTGCGGCCAGGGCGCTGGGCCTCAGGGAAGCTGCACAACCAGGAAGCAGAACCGTGTGCTGGTGAAGCAGATGAGGCTTCCCTGTGTGTGTGTGTGTGTGTGTGTGTGTGTGTGTGTGTGTGCGCGCACGCGCGCGCGCATGTGTGTGTGTGCGCGCATGTGTGTGTGCATGAGTGTGTCTACGTGTGCATGTCTATTCATATGTGCAGTATATGTGGAAGCCAGATGCTGATGTCCCCAATCACTTCACCTTGCTTTCTGACAGTCTTCCCCAAACCTCACTGGCTGGCTAGGCTGGCCATCCACCCCCCAGAACCTGCCTTCTGCCCCTTTGGACTCATGAGTCCGAGGCAACCACACGTGGCTTTTATGTGGGTGCCAGGGAAGCTGAACTCAGCCATCACGCTTGCACAGTGAGCATTTTACACCCCCAGCTCCTCTTTCATTATGTTCCTATTTATTTATTTATTTGGTTTTTCAGGACAGGGTTTCTCTGTGTAACAGTCCTGGTTGTCCTGGAACTTGCTCTGTAGACCAGGCTGGTCTCAAACTCACAGAGATCCACCTGCCTCTGCCTCCAACGCCTGGCCTACTTACTTATTTTTATTATGTGTGTATGCACCTGATGGGGGGGGGGGCACTGCCATGATGCCTTGTGGAAATCAGACGACAGCCTTGCAGAGTGGCTTCTCTCTTCCTACTTTCAAGTAGGTTCTGGGGGAGCAAACTCAGTTTCTGGGCTTGCATGGCAAGCCCCTTTACTTACTGAGCCATCTTGCCAGCCCAGCCTGTGTTTCCTTAAAAATAACATGTTATGATACTATGACTAGCATGAGCAATTTGCCCCCAAGGAAAGAACCCATCAAATACTAAGGTTAAGGCTGAAAATCCCTCAGGACATCAGCTTCCTACAGGTGCCAGGGCCTTTGGTGTGGAGTGAACGCTTTCCTTGTACATCTGTGCTTTTCCACAGCACAAGGCTACAGGGGAGGAGAGACCCATCTGGTGCAAGACTCGGCCTTCAGTCACCCAATTCCCAAACCTTTCCCCATTACGCGGAGGGACGCTGAAACTCAGAGAGGCACAGACACTTGCCTAAAGTAGCACAGCTCAAGAAGGGCAGACTTGATCTGCCGCTTGGGGCCTGGGAGGAGCTGTGGGGCCCCACTCACTTGGACAAGGAGACGCCCCCAGGCTTGCCAATCAGGTCCTCGTGGTGCAGGACTGTGTCACTCCAGGCGATGCCCAGGAAGTCCAGGATGCGCTTGAGCGAGCGTCGGGGGTGCAGCACCAGCTGTTCGTAGTACACAGGCAGGCACTTGTCCCTGCCCACCTCCATGCACTGTGTATACATAACCTCGATGGCCTTGTTCCACTTAGTCAGGCAGTCTCGGTAGCTACTCAGGTCAAAGCCCGCGATGGTGACCTTGCGAGTGATCATCGAGTGCACGGAGGCCCGGCCGTCGCGCACCATTAGCAGGAATTTGGAGTTGGGGAACAGGCGTGCCAGGTAGACGGAGGACTTGAGCGTGAAGGGGTCCTTGTTACACAGCACACGTGCTGGCTCGCCGTGTTTGGCAATCACCTCCAGGATGAAGGCCTGCATGGCGGCGTCCAGCACCTCATCCGTCACGCCTGCCTCGTCCAGCCGCAGCTTCTCCCGGCCAGACTTTGACCAGGCCTGCCGCATGGCCAGCACGCGAGGGATGATGCGCGTCTCCTCCCCGCAGCGCACCTCGGGGTGTGCGTCCAGCATGGCGCGCATGAGGGTGGTGCCGCTGCGAGGCACGCCGCCCACAAAGATGAGCGGCATGGCCTTGCCGTAGCGGTACTCCACTTGGTCGGCGCCAAGCATCACCAGCTCCTCCTGCTCTGGCCGCATTCTCCGTGGGCTCCGCTTGCCCCCGAGCACAGCCCGGCACTCCAACACTTGCTGCCCGAGCTGCAGAGCCAGCACCAGGGCCAGTGCGCAGCCAGCAGCCAGCAACACCTTACGCAAGGACAGGCGCATGCCCAGCCAGGGGCACAGGCCCAGGCAGGGGCCCCGCCTCATGGACGGGTCAGGAGGTCCACCTGGTGTGCATCTGTGGAGAGAGGAACCGTGTCAGCAGGCCCATCGGGACGCAAACTAGACGCTGGGGTGAACAACTTCAGTGGCAAGTGGGTAAAAGAAAGCATCTACCTGGTGCTACCCCCACCCCGCCCCTGGGACTACTGTGGCCTCCAAAGCCTCAGGTGGACAGCAGGACCCAACCCTCCACCACCATGGCTGCGGTGCCTTCGGCAGTCGGTCAGTGCACCAGCTGGCCGCCTGGTAATGAAGGGCGGTGATGGCGGTTATTAGTAAAATGCTGCAAACACCAGCACAAGCCTGTATGCTACCTACTTGGGAGTATTCCAACTTCAAGTCTGCCTGTGTCAAAAATAAGAAGTAGGGCTGGGTGCAGGGAGCCAGGGAGCTGGCCCGGCCTGGCTGCCTTGAGTGACATGCCTCACACATAGATAGGCCGTTCACGTCCATGGCTCCTGGGGCACAGCCTGCCTTTCGGTTCCTGAGAAACCGAGGCACACCCTCAGGTACTGGAGTGTTCAGGCCGCCTTGTGAGTCTCTGCATGTTCCCTTAGTAGCCAAGCAAGCATGGGAGCTCGTCAGGACAATTGGTCTTAGACGTTAATCTTGAGTACCCTGTGCTGCTTACATCACTGCAACTACAGCTGTATTGACCCTGGAAATTGACACTATATTCTGCTTCTGACACCGGTATAAAAAGTCTGTTTGCCCTCAATAAAACTGCCACAGCCTCAGTCTTGCTGTGGCCTGTCCAACCCATCCTGGTTTAATGTCTCGGTGGCCACATCAGGTAACCTTGGTCCAGAAGAAAACAACCGTTTCTTAGGCAGGAGGGACGAGCACAGAGGGCAACTCCGGGGAGCCAGAGTTCTGCGGAACTGGGTTCAAATCCCACCCCTGCAACTTGCCGGCTTGCAACACAGACAAGAGACTTTCCCCTCCAGCCAAGTGGGGGCAATGACAATCATTCCCAACGGGAACACTGGGCAGGGCCTGCAAGAGGCATTCAGCAAACCCTGCCCAGCTGGCCTATTCCGCACAGCGCACTTGCGGTTTCCTGAGTCCTGGCATTCCTCGTGTGTTCCAGGCTCGGCTGTTCCTGCTTTTTAACCAACCAGCTGAGGAGAGAGCTTCCTGGCCTGAGGCTGGTGGGGAGCACCGACGCATGTGGACTAAGGGCTCATCAGGGCAGTGGGGGGGGTGTCTCTGGGTAGACTCACCTCCCCTGGGCTCCGTCATTTCCAAGCACCAGTCCTCCAGCCTGCTCAGCAGGGCTTCCTCTCCCCACAGTCCTGTAGAGCAACAGAGATGCTGTGTCAGGAGTGGGCTGGGACAAAGGGGCTTTTGAGGCACCAGGCAATGGCCTTCAGGAGTGAAAGCTGCACAGACCTTTGCTGCCATGGGGAGTCACCTGGCCCTCTAGGGCAGAAGTTCTCAACCCGTGGGCTGCAACCCCTTTGGCAAACCTCTATCTCCAAAAACACTGACATCATGATTTGCAACAGTAGCAAAATTCTAGTTATAAACTAGCAACAAAAATAATTTCATGTTTGGGGGGGGGTCGCCATAACATGAGGGACTTACTAAAGGGTCACAGCGTTAGGGAAGTTGAGAACCACTGCTCTAGGGAGTTCACGGGCTCGGTTCACAGGTTCACTGCTGACTCAGGAAGCCAGGGTCCCTCCCAGTCTCTTCCATCCTCTCAGGAATGAACATCACGGAAAGCAAACAACACAACAGTCTACCTGTCACTACCCAGGGAGTCCTGGGAGCAATTCACCGGCTGTGCACTGTGGGGCTCCAAAGGGTGTCTGTCATAAGGTCAGGTAATGCCCAGCCTCCACCACCCAACACAACGTGCCTGTGTAAGTGCATATTGTGTCCCGAAGCCCCAGAGGAGCATAGAATTTCTCCAACTGGCTAACCCAAGGATGAACTGAATCTGTTTCCCCATCTTGGTCCGTGAGATGTCATAACTCAGTTCCCAAACATGGAGTTTCAGGTGGAGGCTGTGTCAGCAGACAAACAGCATTCCCGTGGTTTTACCATCATGCAATCCCCCCCCACCCCCAAGAGAAAATGCTCCCGTCCCTGGGGAGGACAGAGTTCACTGACACAGCTGACATTCCACATCTCTCCTTGGTCCTGTCTCAGAGACCTGCAGTGTCAGTTTCCCTGTCTATACACAGGGGCCGCTGGGAAGGAAGCTCCAGCTAGGCAGAAGGGCCTGGACCACCAGCACTGACTGTCCCTTTGTGTCACAATGGGAAGGAATGGCTGCCTGAATCTCAGTCCTCCATCTCCAGAGAGTTCAGCCACTTCTCACCCTTTTTCGTTTATTTTGTTTGTCTTTTCTGTTCTCTGGAAATCCAGCCCTGCTAATACAGTAAGGTCCCATCGGAGAAGGGTTCCCACCTTGTCCTACACTGCGAGATGCTCTGGCCTGGGACTCCTGCGTGTGGCAGTGGACTCCCCCTAGGGAGATACCAAGCAATCCAGGGAGGGCACTGGAAGCTTCCAGAAACAGCTGGAGGCAACCTAGCTGCTCTCAAGAGACCCCTGAAGAGCTGAGTGTATGTGCCCAGGCTTGCCAACTCCACAGTTGGCACCAGCTAAATCCAAAGAACACAGGCTCGCCGATAGCCATGGGCGAGCTGATGGGCCGTCCATCTCTGAGCAGGGTGCCCAGCAGAATAAAATGCAAAATTCATTCTGATTTGCACAAGTCATATGGCAAAGGCCAGAAGCCACTGGAGCTGGTGGGGACTGACATACCGGATAGCCCTGACCTAGATCAAGGTGACAAATGACAGCCAGCCTCGCTGGTCCCAGGAGTGGGGGGATGCTTTGTTCACTGGGCAGCGGTAGGCTCTAGGGGCAAAGGCTCTTCTGGGCTTGGAGGGAAAACTGCGTCGGTGCTGCACGTGTGGCTTCATGACTGTGTTCCCTGGCCAGCAGTGTAGAGCGACTACTCACACGGCATTTACACTGCGCCAGCGGTGATCTGGGGTTCACACAGGTGGGCGGGCAAGAGGGCTCAGCAGGTAAAGGTGCTTGCTGCACAAGCACGGGGACTTGAGTTTGGTACCCTGGACCCATGGAAACGCGGGGAGAACTGACCCTGCCGGGTGTTCTCTGACCTCCGTGCTTACACCCGGGCATTCGTCCTTCGTCCTCCCCACCGCAATACAGTAGTGAGAGACAGTAACAATGCACGGAGGATGCGTGCAAACACTAAGACCTTTCATGTCAGTGCCCGGAGCACCGGCGGCGGGGACGAGCATGCGTGCGCTTTGCCGAGGGGAAGGGAAGGAGAAGGGAGAGCACTCTGCAGCGACAGCAGCCTCAGAAACTGTCAGTACACCACAAACCCCAGAACAGACTGCCAGCCTCTATTCTGGAAACGTCTACTCAGGGCTGAGCTGTACCGTGTGCGCGGCACTGACTCAGAGGACAGTGAGAGGCAGAGGTGGGGTCCACAGCTCTCTGTTCTTACGGGAAGGTCGGCAGTCAACACTAAGCCTATCCCGCCTCTCCCGCATCCCCATCAGCCCTGTGCTTGCTTGCACCGCAGGCTCTGCCGTCTATGGGCCAGCTGGATCCGTGAGGATGCAGGCAGGGCAAGTATAACTGTGCCCCAGGGCGGTCACTAATGAGGCAAACTAACCCAAACTGGCAGGGGAGAGCCTGGAAGATTTGGATGCTCCCTGCAGGGTCTTGGCCGTCAGGGGACATTTTCTCCTAAAACATGATTCTGGTGTTGTGGGTCACACTACCTCCCCGCAATGAGGGCAATGAGGGGTTACTAGGCTTCTATCTGTGTGCGGGCTGCCTGCACTCAGACCCAGCTGTGCGATCCTGGCCTCTCAGTGCCTGACCTCTCTGAGCTCCTCTGAGAAATGGAGCTGATGATGCCTCTGGTTATTATTACACTCGACTTGAAACAGCAGCGCGGATATGAGTAGCCTCCTGGAACACGGGAAGGGGCTGCCAGTGAAGCCGTGCAAGCAAAGGCATCTGCCCAAAGCAACTGCTGCCTGTGGCAGGTGCCACGAGATGGGGTTTGCCGTCGCTCGCTAGTAGAGGTTGTGGCCCCACAAGTAGAAACCACACAGCTAAGGAAACGGAAAAGTCAGTTTCCAAATTCGGCTCCGTCGTCCTTCGACGTTGCCCTGCCCCGGGCCATGCAGTTCTCAAAATGGGCCATTAGGGAGTGGAGGCCTCACCAGCTCTCGGCTCTTCCCCAAGCTGCCCAAGGGCCATGGGAAAGGGAGAGGGGAGCTAGTGAGGAGGGATCCGAGGGAACCACCTGCCACAGACAGACACTTGTTTCCTGGGCACCCACTATGTGACTGCACGGCGCACACTAGCGGGATTCAGTGAGACAGAGGACAGAGGGTCAGGTCATCCTCAGCTACACAGTGAGTTCAAGGCTGGCCTGGGCTACGCGAGAGTCTGTCTCTAACAAAAGCAAGTGAAAGACGCAGCACAGGTGCCAAGTGCAGAAGGAAACGCACAGTTTGAGGTGCAGGCGCCCGCTGGGGAGGAAAGGGACCAGCTTTTTGGCTTAAACCCATCTGTACTCTTCTTCTCCTCCTCTTCTTCCTTTTTTTTTTTTTTTTTTTCCTTCTTTTTTGGTTTTTCAAAACAGGGCTTCTCTGTTTAACAGCTCTTGCTATCCTGGAACTAACTCACTCTGCAGACCAGGCTGGCCTTGAACTCACAGAGACACCCCTGCCTCTGCCTCAGCTGGGATTAAAGGTGTGTGCCACCACTGCCCAGCCACACGTGTAGTTTCTTAACTGGCCTTTCTCCATTTTCAACAGATCAAAAGGTTCCCGAGAAAAGGGTTCTAACAGCACAGGGGCTGGCTGCAGAAGCAGTCGCCGCGCTTAACAAAGTGGCCTGGGACGAGGGCCATGGCTCCTGTGCGCACACTCAGACTGGCTGGCTGTGTGGTCCTGCTCCCAGGGAACCAGCTCCCAAACTGCCTGCCACCAGGCGGCAATGACATCCCACTCCCACACCACTCTTTTCCACTACGGTCGGGGTGAGGTGACCCTAGGTATCAGAGACCACCGGCACACTCCGAAGGGCAGCCACCCAAGAGAGCCAGCAGAGCGGGAGCACACAGGGGGCCGGGGAGGAGGGCGCGTGGACTGGTCCAGAAGAGGACACTGGGGGTAACAGGGGAGGAGGCACACGATGCGGCGGGGGGAGGCGGAGGGGGGCACACCACGAAGGCCCCAAGGCCACTGCTTTCCTTCCTTCCATGCCACTCTTCTGTCCCCGTGACTCTCCTTCATAAACAACCATCTCAGCATCCAGGGTCACACAACTGGAAGCCGCCGGCCTCTTCAGAGCTCAGGGCCTTGCCTCTGACTTGATCTGCTAATTTTCACCTTGTGTGATGGAGGCAGGACCCCAGTGCCTCCCCCGACTCCTTGTTGGAGGCCCACACCAGCTCCCTTTGAGGCACGAGCTGGGGGTGGGGAGCAGTTAGGGGTGAGGGGCAGTGCGTCTGGTCCTCCCAGGGCTTCCCCACCCCAAGGCTGCCTGCCTGTCAGTCCTGGCTTGGCCTGGGCCAGCTCTCTGTGAGGAACACGGATGTCTGGATCGGGAACAAAGCAAGTCAATGGACCACACCTCTTCAGACAGGGCTGGCATGCAGCCATCGCCATCGCCATCGCCATCGCCAGCCACCCTGCACATCATGGCCAGGAAGCAGCCCGGCGTGCGTGGGGCCAACACTGGCGGCTTGTCCTGCGCCCTCCCCGGCCCCTGCTTCTCGTGTAAGCTGGAGAGCTCACAAGCCACTTCGCCGAAGGCCTCTGAAGGTCAGATGGGCTCTGACTCAGCACAAAAGTCAACGCAGGCGCCACACGGGAGACTGTAGGTGGCTCTGTTCCGGTTGGGTACTTCACGAAGCCGTGTGGCAAAACCGACCTGGTGCTTATGGCTCGGTGTGCAGGCTCCCAGCCCAACAACAGCACAGTGCAACGTGGGCAAGCCTGAAGGGCAAGACTTCAAGGCCCTAGGGCGAGGCCAAAATGTGTCTGGGTCTCAGGAACGACCGTCCGTGGGAGGAATCAGGTGGCCAGCTTTGCGGAGGAGGAGGAAAATGCATAATTCTAGAACGTATCCCATCTTTCATAAAACCCACAGATCCTGTTCAGGGAGTACACCACCTCCTGTTCAGAGCCCAGCAAGGTCTGATGAGAGACCCACATGCACTTGGAGGTTAGCCTGCCAGTTTTACTCTGTTGTCTTTGGGACGGCGACTTGTGAAGTG